GACTTTTCGTTCTCCCCGTGTCTTGGCCCCCCTCCTTTGCAGGCAATGCCGACGCTAATTGAGCTAATGAAGGACCCCAGCGTGGTGGTGAGGGACACCACAGCGTGGACAGTGGGGAGGATCTGTGAGCTGCTACCTGAAGCCGCCATCAATGAGGTCTACCTAGCCCCCCTGCTGCAGTGTCTGATTGAGGGTCTGGGGGCTGAGCCCAGGGTGGCCTCCAACGTCTGCTGGGTGAGCCGAGTTTGTATCTGTCAGGGTTAGAAATCAGTTGGTCATCAGAAACGGATGTTTCCTTGATTCTTGTTATCTTCTATGGAAAGGACTCGGATGCACATGAGGGAAACATGGGTGCAGTCAGCTGAAAGAAAAAAAAAATTAGAAAAAATCAACTGGACTAGGTTTCTAGGTCGAAGACGTCTCGCCTCTCATCCAAGAGGCTTCATCGGTTCAGAACTGAGAACAGTTTTGCCCCTAACCCCCATGTAGGGAACGCATCGGTGGCATGTGGTCATTGTTTCTGTGTGAAAATGTTGACATGCCACAGTTTTTAACAGTCCATTATTGGAATAGCGCACCAAGCTGACGGTCGGCCATCGGTGAGCATCTGTCAAAAATCGTCTTCCCAGTCTGTCCCGCACCGTTGGCACTAGTTGGATCTTGTTGGCAGGTTCTCAGCCATTTGGCATGTTGAGACGGTGTCGGAGCTTGTTGGCAAGACAGACCGCTCTGATTGGCTGTTGAGCTTAGTGAATCAATCCACGAGAAGAAAGCCTGGGCTCGGGAAAGCCCCTGCAGCCTATCGCTGCAGTGTCCACGATTTCACCCATTTAGTGCAGTTTCTCCTTGATTTTGCTTCCACACCCTCCTTTCTTTTTCCACAACCAAAAGACCAAGGGCAGAGATCGGTTGCATCCTTTGCAGCTTGTTGTCGGACGTATTCTCCATTAGCTGTAAACAGCAGCTGTGTTGAATGAAAGGCTTTAATTATGGCTTGTATTTCCACAGTCTAGCTCTGCTTCTTTCTCTTTCTGAATGGCAAAGACAAAACACGAGGCGATGCAGCAGTCGCGTTCGTCGCTGATGGTTCTTTCACATCGACTTGATGTGGCTCTGCCCTAATTTGCCTAATCTTCATGGTTCTACTCATGAAATGGAAACAAAGTGAAGCTGGAGAGTTCAACTTCTCAGGTGTCCTGGTTCCTAAACAGTTTGGTCTGAAAGAAAGCTTGTAGGCTAATGTGGGCTAATGTTTCACATACAGCATTGACAAATGAATAAATGTTGCCTGCTGTCTCCTCCCTTAGGCGTTCTCCTCTCTGGCTGAGGCAGCCTACGAGGCCACAGATGCTGCAGAGGACCAGGAGGAGCCCAGCACCTACTGTCTGTCCTCATCCTTCGAAATCATCGTCCAGAAGCTCCTGGAGACCACCGACAGGTAGAGTCGGGGAGGGCAGAAACTAGTTCTGTGATAAAACCAATACAAAGCACAAACAAACTTTATTGCCAAGTATTTCAAGAACACAAGGAATTTGACTCCAGCTTAATGGCCTCCAATGTGCACAACATAAAAACAAAATACCGTATTTTCTGCACCATAAGGTGCACCGGATTATAAGGCGCAGTCTCAATTACGGGGTCTATTTCTGTACTTAACCCATACATAAGGCGCACCGTATTACAAGGTGCATGCTAAAACGTAACGGAAGCAAAACCGTGAGTTTAGTTGAACTTTATTCTACTATTTAACAATACACTCACATTATTTTTTAATCAATCTTCTCCCACAAATCCACTTCCGAACCATAGATTCATTGATTTTGAATTCTTTCGCAGCTGCTCTATTCCCATTTACAACCGCGTAACTGATAGCCTGTAGTTTGAATTGTGCCTCGTAAGCATGTCTCTTCACTGGTGCCATTTTCGGGGGTCCTTAGACCGGTTTAGACTGGTTTATCGCTGCCAGCGTACGTAGTGTACGTATTACGTCCCTGTGTCAGCGGGAAATGGTCCGACAGTCAATCAAGCGGAGTGCTTACCAAAGTCGCACAACAACATTTTTATAGATTTTGGAACTCAGTGCACACATAAGGTGCACCGGATTATCAGGCGCACGGCCGATTTTTGAGAAAATTTAAGGCTCTTAGGTGCGCCTTATAGTGCGGAAAATACGGTACACAATATATACAAGTTAAAAGAGCAACATAGAGTAGCTGTTCATCAGCGTAATAGCCTGGGGGAAGAAACTGTTTAGGCATGTTTTGGTTTATCTGACACTTCTGTCCAGTGGTGTGGTGTGACAGTTTCCTGCTGCAGGACTTCCTGTTGTCAGTGTAAAGTGAGGAACTTCAAGTTGCAGCAGAGTGTTTCACTAAACTGAAGGTTAAAAATAAAACCTGACTGTTACACAGACACAAAACACAGTCACTGAAGTCAGACACACACAGGTTGGTCCTGCCTTCACTTCTGTTTTTAATAAATACAGTCAACAATGAGGTTTTGTTTTACCATAATTCAAATTCATAATCAGATGTAGATCCCTCCACTCTCCGACTACATCCTGCTTACTTTCAGTCAGACCTGGTGTTAGAAATGATATTTGGCAGCTGTATGCGGCTCACGCTGCTTTGATTACATGGATGTTGTTTGAGTGAGTCCTTGTTTGTCTGAATTTGCTACACCTGAGGAGGAGGGTGCAGAGTTCGCTTGTCCCAGAGACACACTGTACACATGGGAAATAAACTGTTAACTTGTTTTGGAAAATCATCGGTGGTACAATTTTTCAGGATGTGTACATAAGTTCTAAGATGAACAAAATGATTGAAAAAGACAATGACATGATGTTAACCCTCTGCCATCATTTAGATTTTGTCTTCACTCATGCTTCCCGCCTGGTTTCTCATGTTGTCAGTTTAACCAAGTATTAAGATGTCAGGCGCCCAAAACATAAGAAAAAGACACAAGTGGCTGTAAAACCATTAAAACCACCTTTTTAATAATTATAGTATAGCTAAAGGCTCAAGATTCAGTGTTCAAGTTTCATAATTATACAAATGTAACTCTAACCCATCTACAGTTAACCCTAACCCGCTGTGTGTCTGTAAGTCATTGAAAATATTCATAATTCATCAGAGACATGGTGATACTCTGTAGACATGTTATTTCATGTGTAAACCAAGTTACTATAAATGGAACCGTACTATTTTCTCCATAACTCTCTAACACTTCTGAGCTCGTCGACTCTGTGGACTGAAAACATTGAATCTGAACATGACGCAGCTGAGTCCTGTCATGTGACTACTGTGTTTCTGTTCTGTGGCCCTGTCCAGGCCTGACGGTCACCAGAACAACCTGCGCTCTGCTGCCTACGAGGCTCTGATGGAGATCGTCAAGAACAGCGCCAAGGACTGCTATCCTGCGGTCCAGAAAACCACCCTGGTCATCATGGAGAGGCTGCAGCAGGTCCTGCAGATGGAGGTGAGATCGTTTTCACGGCAGCTCCAGGGTGACTGAAAGTCACAATAACGAGACTTTATGAGCAGAAAGTTGTTACTGAGGCGGTTCCTGTGATTTCAGTTTTCAATTTTATTTGTATAGCACCAATTCACAACAAAAGTCATTTCAGGACATTTTACATAGTAAGGTCTAGACCTTACTATTATTATTTCAGAGGAAAAACCCAACAAACCCCCTGGAGCAGCACTTGGTGACAGTGGGGAGGACAAACTCCGGGGCAGCCACGTGTTTTATTACCTTTTGCAACATAGGAAGTAGAACCTGCTTTATACAAAACATGGAAGTGTCTGACATCTAAAAATAAAACCAGTTAAAATGGAATATAGAAGGTGAAAGCAGATCTTAAGACAGAGTATTAAGATGCTGCCCGGAATGTAATGTAGAAATCAACAACATGTTGAGTGTCTGTGCAGATCCTCAGTCATCCAGGTCATAGTAAACTGAAAAAACTTAGAAAAAAATCAACTGGACTAAATTTCTAGGTTGAAGACGTTTCACCTCTCATCAAAGAGGCTTCTTCAGTTCTAAGCCTCTTGGATGAGAGGTGAAATGTCTTCGACCTAGAAATCTAAGTACAGTTTTCTAAGTTTTTTTTTCAACATGTTGAGTGGTTCAGATTTAAATCCTGTCTAATGACAACTTCCTGTGTCCCCAGTCTCACATCCAGAGCACCTCAGACAGAATCCAGTTCAATGACCTGCAGTCGCTGCTGTGTGCCACTCTACAGGTGAGACCACACCCCTCAGCCGTGCGACACGCTCACATTAATGATCAGTAAACGTGTAGTTACTGGTTTCTAACAAGTAATGCAGCTGTGTCTGTGTTGGTGTTCATTATTTCTTCTTCTGGTGTCTCCTGTGAAGATGCTTCTTATTGTACCAGCTGTTTTACTAGACTATCGTTGCTACCTGTGTTACTACATTAATGGGCACTTTAGCTACACCACTGTGTATTGGAAAGCCTTAATTTACAGATTTTACAGGGCTAATAGGGATCTTACCCATGCTCATATTGTGACATTTAACAACTGGAGTTTCAGAATAAGAGTCTAACCGTTTCCTTTCCCGTAGAACGTACTTCGCAAAGTCCAGCATCAGGACGCCCTGCAGATCTCAGATGTGGTGATGGCATCTTTGCTGAGGATGTTTCAGAGCACTGCCGGCTCGGGGGGTGTTCAGGAGGACGCTCTGATGGCTGTGTCCACACTGGTGGAAGGTACACACTCTAAAACATACAGCAGACACCACACGTGCAGTAGCTGGAAAACCAGAAACTTCTCACCTGTTCATTACTGCTGAACACAGTTCAATGGGAGGCAGTGTTCATGAGTCTGCACAGTTTGTGTGCATGTAGGTTTGCCACTGGGCCTGAGGCTTTCTGACATTGCTGTTGTCTGAATGCCGCCATAAGATAAGTTTGTGTCTTGAACCATCATTTTGTGCTCTGCTGTTTATTCACAAAACCGGTCTGATTTTGTTTTCCACTGTTCTTTGGCAGTTGTGTTTAAAATTGTGACAAAACTTGAATGAACTCTGGTCATGGTAGCTGTCAGAGATGTTCAAGGTGTCTGTGTCCTTAAAATGTCCGAGTCTTACTCTTATTGACAGAAGTTGTTCAGTCTGTGATTAAAAAAATCTCACTCACAATTGGGTTTGGCTTGTATGGGGGGGGATCAGTTGCTGTTCAGTCTGACCACATCCCTGTCTTTCATATTTATCTGCAATTTTGTTGTAGTTTACATTGTTTGGCTCGCTCAGTGAAGCTAAAAATGGTTTTGTCTTAAACAAAACTGCTTCTACTTTTCACATGAAATGATTTAACTGCATGTTGATGACAGACCAAGATTTATGAGATTTGTTTGTACCAGAGAGGTGCAGTTCAGGATTCATCCACCTCCACATGACGGTGTAGTCTAAATGTTGTACTGTATTGACTTGGACTGTTTCTGTTTCAGTTCTGGGCAGCGACTTCCAGAAATACATGGACGCCTTCAAGCCGTTCCTGGGCATCGGACTGAAGAACTATGCTGAGTATCAGGTCACACCAGATTTGCTTTTCACACTGTTCAGCAGCAGTTGCACATTGTCTTCAGGAAAACAGTCTCAGAATTCAGAACCTCAGTTGTGATTATCATACAAAGAGCTTTGCCTTTAGCTTTGGGAAGCCTGAGTGTGCTCTGCTGTTCACTGACAGACCTGGTCTTATTCTTGATTTCTAAAAGTTAACACCATACCATGTCTGATAGTGATGGTAATGTCGTCACTGCAGGTGTGTCTGGCGGCTGTGGGGCTGGTGTGCGACCTGTGCAGAGCTCTGATGTCCAACATCCTGCCTTACTGTGATGAGATCATGCAGCTGCTGCTGGAGAACCTCGGGGTGAGGAAGAGGAGGACGAAGTCCTTGTCATCTCTGTCTCTCTCGTTCTCTTGGTTCTTTTTATTCCTCTTTTCTCATCTTCTCTTAAGTTCTTTTACTTGGCCCCTTTTTGTCTTTAATGTCCTGAAAGATGGCCACCTCCTGAGCAATGGCTCCTGTGTGTGAGGTTCAGTCTGTGGTGATAAATGTGCACCATGCTGACTGTGATATAGACCCAACCATGTTTATCTGAGCCCTCCATGCTCAGAATGCATTTTAAAAGTTAGCCGCTGCTTTTCCTTTCAGCTCTGCTTTAATAAAGCCCTACAGCCAAGTGCAGCTCGTCTCCTTGTCCAGACACTAACACAGTTACTGTGAAGTTCAGCTGATTCTGCTGTCACTGGTGTGTCGGCACAAAGCGCCGCTGTGTCAGCCTGAGCTGGAGTCGACTGAGCCATTAGTCAAGTGACAAAACAATCTGCAGCAGATTCTGACAATTGGATCTTTAAGTAAAAACAGCATCAGATCTCTGCTTCTGGTTTATTAAATGTCAATATATTTGTTTATCAGACCTTTTATGATTGTGTGCATGAGGTTTTACAAAGCTTTACATGTCTACTCTGTCGTGAGAACATAACACCATGCCTACCAGCAGAATCGGACATCAAACAGTCTTTCTGGACTCTTCTTAGAGGCTGAGTCCAGAACCCGAAATGAACCTGCTGCAGTCAGGTTTCTCTACCAGCAGATGGGCTGCAGTGATGACAAACTGAATATCTAGACAATATTTAACATGTCACCTTGTACTGTGGGAAACTTGTGACCAGCAGTTTTCAGTTGTTGAGTTCCAACCAAAATGGCCAATTGATTAATCAACAAAATCGATGATTAAGAACATAATGATTAATAAAGTTTCAACTCTTGTCAGACCTGGGAGCGGTGATAACATCACCTGGTCTTCCCTCACTCTGCTTATTTGTCTACTCCTCGTTCATCCTCACTTCTTTTCCTGCACTGTTGTAACATCTGGCTAATGAACATGATGTCGTACGGTCGGCATTAAATGCTGTGTGTGTGTGTGTGTGTGTGTGTGTGTGTGTGTGTTCAGAACGAGAATGTCCACCGGTCGGTGAAGCCTCAGATCCTCTCTGCGTTTGGTGACATCGCTCTGGCCATTGGAGGAGAGTTTAAGAAATACTTGGACATTGTCCTGGACACGCTGCAGCAGGCCTCTCAAGCCCAGGTTGACAAGGTGAGCGACACAGGAACGTTACCCGCGCTCAAATAAAATTTAACTCGCGTCGACAGCAGCAACACTCGCCTGCGCTGCTGGAGTGTTTTACTGGTCAGGTTCATTTTTAGACTGTTCAACTGGTAAGACACATTGCAACAGCTCAGCTGTTGGTGTGCAGAAAAACACTCAAGTCTGCTAAGTGGTTCCAGGAGTAGTTTAGTGAATATTGGCGGTGCCTGCAGAACTGCATTTCGTAATATGCACAAGAACTGCCTGTGGCAGTGCAAATCTTGTTTTAATGACACTTTTCTCATAAGATACTTGGCTCATTTTTATGAGGTACTTTTTCCTGTTTTAACAACATACTGTGGGCCTTTTTGTTACCATAACATACTGTATTTTCTCGTAATAACGTGACCCCTGCACAGCGTCTTTGAGCTGCACCTCCATAGCTCATTCACTTCAGATTGCTCTCTCTCATCAACACCCTCCCACACCAGCTTTCAACACAATGACCAACGTCGTGGATCCATTAAAAGAAACAAAACTGAATGAAAGAGGAAGCACAGTTTGGAGACGTAGAGAGGGACAAACGACACAGCTGCCTGCTAGAGGCAGGCAGTAATAAAGTCAACACTCCTTTGTTTTAACCTTGTTGTTTCTATGTGTTTGAACATTTGTTACTTGAAGCGATCTTAATTTTCTCCAGGCCATAGCCTCAGAGAAATGCTAATTCTTTGTATTTTGTCTTTACTGTATATTTCGGTGTTGACTTAAGTTGAATAACAATTAACTTGAAGTGCCTGAACAAAACTGAACCTACATGAACATGACAGTACTGACTACAAAGTACTACAAAGTTTGTTTGTTTTTTTAAACTACAAACTGTTTTCTTTTTTTAAATACTCCCCACCATAAACCACATCTGAGCAAGAGCTTTTTTGTTTGCAAAAACCCTGACAAACTCGTCCGTGTCTCCGACTACTGCCTTCTCATCATGTTGGGGTCATGAAAGGTTGTTCTTTGGGTGGTAGCATTTTAGGAAAGCACAATGGAGATGCAAGAGGGGCGGGCTCCATGCTACCCAGCCTTCTACTAGCCAGTGTGCAATCTGTAGAAAACAAGCTGGATGAGCTAAGAGCCAGGATTACAACGCAACAGGAAGTAACACCGACCGTGCTGTGATCTAATTTCGGAGTCCTAGACTCCACTGTCCAGCTACAGACGCACTCCGTGCATCGAGCAAGCCGGACACCAGACTCTGGTAAGAGCAAAGGGAAAGGTGTGTGCGTCTTTATCAACAACTCTTGGTGTGGGGATATGTGGACTGCTCACCAGATGTGGAGTTAGTGCTGAAATGCCGGCCTTATTATCTGCCAAGAGAGCATAGCAGTGTGTTTCTGGCTAGCATGTATGTTAGCCCAAGAGCTAATCCCACAGCTGCTCTTAACAAACTCCACTACACCATAAACACACTAGAGACAGCTCAGCCCGATGCTGTCTTTATCATCGCCAGGGACTTTAACCAGTGCAATATACAGACTGTACTCCCTAAACATTCATGTGAACAACATGTGAACATTCCCTCCTGTGGTAAGAACACTCTGGACCATGTTTGCAGTAACATACGTGGTGCATACAGGGCTGCACCCCACCCTCACTTCGAACACTTGGGCCATATCTCTTAGTTCATATCCCCAGCCTACAGACAGACTGAAACAAACAAACCCTGTCACCAAACAAATTAAACTCTGGACCCCAGAGGCTAAAGGCTTCCTGCAGGACTGTTTCACCCAGACAGACTGGGATGTGTTTAAAGCTGCAGCCACCTCAGAGGACTTTTCTGTCAGCGTACAGGATTATGCTGAGTATGTGACCGGATACATTACTACCTGTATTGACAACACTGTGCCCACCATACAAGTCAGGAGGTTCCCCAACCAGAAGCCCTGGATAAACAGTCAGGTACGCCACATGCTGCGTGCTCGCTCTCATGCATTCAGATCGGGAAATAAGATGGAGTACAAAGCTGCAAAGTACAGACTGAGGAAAGCCATCACAGTGGCCAAGAGGCAGTACAGAGAGAAGCTGAATGGCTTCTATTCTACTGCTGACACTTAACACCACACAGCTGGTCAAGAAGGCCCAACGGCGGCTGTACTTCCTGAGGAGGCTGAGGAGGTTTGGCATGTCGCCTAGGATCCTCAGCAACTTCTACAGCTGCATCA